GGGGGGGGCAAAAAACAGAAGCAGTAGCGGAATAGAAAGTCCCCCCTCACCTTTTTCTCAATCTCTATCTTCAGTTGATTTTCCACCATGTCGACCAGAGGGTTTTTGCAGCTGGAATAGAGCATCCTCTCCTTGATGCTACACTTGTACCCCGGCATGGAATAAATAAAAACTGCAAAAGAAGGGAAAGAGAAAATCGATGAAGGGCGCGGCGCAAGTGGAGGACCCGCAGCCCCTGAGTCAACTCACCCGTGGACTCCAAGCGGTCACCCTCGTGGGAATGCTTGTAGAGGAAGAAGTGGTAGCGAGCGGCGTCTTTGGGGATCCTCGACGGGAGGGTCCTCAGGTCCGTTGGCTCGGTGCTGCACAAGCAAATCAGCTCCTGTTCGAAGTCTACTTGCTGGCGGTCGAGGTAAAGAACAAACCAGTAGATATCATGTTCAAGTAGGCTTTAGGATAGCAAACTTGCTGGAAAACAGCGCAAACCGACCAGTGTAGAACCTCGAAAGCCACAATCCAGAAATCAACCAAAATTTATTGCTAGCTTTAGCAAGATGGAAAAAGCAAGAGCCCTTTTAAGGAAACTGGGAACTGTTTCCGCAAAAACAAATCTATTTCTTTGTTTATTTAGTTTGCGCTTGTCTGACTATTAAAAACGTGACTGCAGTGTTTTCGGATTGCGACAGTTTGAACCCAGCACAGATGAGTTTTGATTTCCGATATTTACCATGGGACAAAACGTCAATCAGAAAGCTCAAAGCTCAATTGTCGTTTTTGTACTGAACACTCGGATCATGTGACACGATGACAACAACCCACACAAAAAGGCCCTTTCGGATGAATACAAACGCTATTGTGTCCGCTCGCTGCACATTGTCTCCAAAGAGGGCGTGACAAAAGCCAGACGGGCGCATTTGTCCAAGGCAATGTCACCTGCCCGCTCGCTCGTTCGTTCGTTCATTCGGTGGACCTCTCTGAACACTCACCAGTTGCACATAGTTGATTTCCTTGTCCCTGAAGCGCTCAAGTGCCGCGACGGCAGCATGGTGGATGGGGAAGGCCACACCTTGGAGGGTCTGGTGCTTACTGTCCACACTGATGTCCGTCTGAACCTGAATGCACCCCACATCCACACCCACACACGCACCCGCACCCCACACCACACACACACACACACAGGAGAGAAGATGAAAATGACTACTTTCTTATAAAAGGAACAAAGTATGGTATGAAAACCTTAAAATTACTCTTGCGGTATTACTACTTTCCTCATAATGTTGTTACATGAATACTTTAGCATTCAATTTTAATTTGCTGTGATATTGCAACTTGATTCTTTTAAAAATGACTAATGTATCTTCTAAACGTATGCATTTAAAAAAAAAACATCTTAAAACTTACTAAGTGTGAAATGACTTTGGAATACCCTCACAAAAAATTCCAAATGAGGATGTCGATCAGCTGAAAGGTTCTTATTCGTCTCGCTCGCTAAACGTTGAAAAAACATTCAGGGAAGTGTGTTCATATTTTAGAAGCAGTAGCGTTGCCACTTCAATCGAAATGCAACGCAAAAAATTATCCAAGCCCCCTTGCTGGGGGAACCCCGCATACCAAACATGACTACAGATCGTAGATCTATCTGCTTAGGTTGCCAAGAATCGGAAGCTTTAATGTTACTTCCCTTTAGCGAGCGGTGCAAACACACCCCTCACTCCCGGCTGGTGTGTGCGTGTGCTTGCCTGCATACATTTCCATATATGGTCAAAGACAAAATCCTCTCATATTGGATGTCATTTAACTGGGAAGGGTCCAGCCAGCGTACGATTGATTGTACACAGCTCTCTTGCTATCACCAGGAAAGAACGAAGTTTCGGTATAGGTGCAACCCATCTCCCCCCCCGCATTCTAACATTCTAAAGAGTCAGCGTCTTTGCACTGCGCTGTAACTGCCGGGCAAGCACGCTGCTGCTGACCTTGGGCCGTTCGGGAAGGACGTGACGCTCGTCTTACTGAACGCCGCCGATGTGATTCGATAGCAATCGCGTTGGGAATTCGAGGTTGGCTATCGTACAAGTATGCCACGGCCGTTCGCATTTGGGATGTGTGGCCGACATTTACGACTTTGTGAGAACACGCTCCGCTCTGAGTGTGTACCTCGTGTAGTTTAATCTGTCTCAGTTCCTCCTCGGCAGCGGTGAGGGGCAGCGGAGCCGACTCCGACAGCAGATATTTCCTGTATCCATTGAGGTTGATCTCATCCTGCGGGGACAAAAGTGTTGCTTATTGAAGAGCCGAGCCACAGAGACGCGTTTGACTTCGTTGGCCAGTAATGTGATGAATGATGAATTGTGAGCAACCTTTGTCGTGGCAAAAAGCTCATCCTTGATGTGGCCGCCGCCAAACTCTTTCTTCAGTGTGGCTCTGGTCGCGGCAAAGAGCATTTTGTTTCTCACCTGTTCAGACGGACAAACAAGTGGTCATTTGAAAAAAGTGATGCCTTGAGATATCGGTTGGATTTGTAGCGTGACCACGCTCGACACTCAAAATACGTGGAACTCAAATCATCTTTCCCAATTGAAATGATTGGAAATACCATTGATGCGTTCCGGCCTCCCTCGCCATGTAAACAAGACTTTGAATGTGTTTTTAGTCAGGAAAATGGCACTCTATGATACTGTGTTTTACAAAAAAAAAAAAAAACAGTTTAATAACATAATTAAATAGACTGTAAAGCAGTCATTACACAGTTCACGTGTCACGATGAATTCTGTGAATGTGTGAAATGGCCACCAGGTGGCAGTATATTATTACAGTCATGCAGAGAAACAAGTTTCACCGAACGATTGCAAATGACTTGAAAATCTGCAGCAATACAAACACCCAAGAAGGTCTCGGATTCAAAAAGGTTGCTGACCCGATTTCGATGTGAGGCTGACGTGTTAACCGCAATGTCACCGTGAGGTTGGGGGAGGATATTTTCTGGAAAAATTGGTTGGATTCTTCCAAGTAAAAGCGAATATCAAAAGTATGAATTGTGCTTTATTGATGTCTTTTTTTCTTCATCTCTAAGAAAACGAGCCACAACTGCTCAGTTGTGCTTTGAAATCCAGACAAGCCTGAGCCTGCGCTTTTTGAGCGAACCGGGTAAGAATGTTAAGCTCTGACTCGTCCTGCGCCCGTCAAGCTGAGTTTACACCGATTTTGTCCTCGTAACATTCCTCAGTCTGCAGAAACAACATTTCATTACTCATTCGGCTATTCTGCATGGGAATGACAGTCCCATATTTTCTGGATTATAAATCGCACACTCTGGAGCGATTTATGTGTGAAATTATCCAAACGTTATGATGTCATTTCAAGTGTTATTTTCACATTAAACCGCAAGAGGGCGCTCTAAGCCTGTGTTGAGAAGTCAACGATGAGTCTGACGTAAGCGACGAGGAAGTGTCGCATCTTCTACCTCAGGAGTCGGTGGAGTTGTTTAAAAGTGACACAGGGGATGAAGATTTCGTTGGATTTAGAGATTTGGAGTGACACTGATGTTTTGGTAAACTTGTTAGCATGTTCTTCCTGCCATAGTTATTTGAATAACTCTTAATATGTTACGTGAACATACCAGGCATGTTCTCGATTTGTTGCTGATGCGTCATGCAGCGTTAGCATATCGTGCACTTATTGAGCCTGCTGTTCTAAATTTTTATTTGTCTTTCAAGATGACATGTCTGTTTTTGGTGTTGGATTTTATCAAGTAAATCCCCCCCCCAAAAAAAAATTGCGACTCATACTCCAGTGCGACTATATATATATATATATATGCATTTTATGGCTGATGCGATTTGTACACCAGAGCGGTTTATAATCCGGCAATATACGATACTGGAACCGGTTAAGTAAAAGCAGCCTTACGGCAGAGTGGTCGGGACTCCATGCGAGGAAGATCCATTCATAACCCTGGTTGTTGCTGGAGTCCAGCCGGTAGAGGATGTAGCAGGGGAGGGAGTCCTCCAGCAGCGGTAGCACTAAGGCATCGTACTCCTGGTCCCACTTCTTTGACGCCTTCTTGGTGTCGGCAACTGTCAGCTGCTCTGGAGAAGCACACATGTGTCAAAGGTCACCGTCTTGCTCGTACATGTGATCTTGTTGTAAATTAAAATTAAAAATCTCAGAGGACGCTTACCATCCTCGATGACGATTTTCAAGACTCGGTACTCGTCTCCGCTCTTGGCACTGGCAAAAATCTCCTTCACGTCATTGCCAGCTGGGGAAAGGCATTTAGGAGTCCAAATTAACTTTTTTAATTGCGTGCACAAAAATAATTGGCTCACTCTACTGCCTTGACAAGCATAAAGGGTCCAACTGAACAAGCAGGTAATTCTTTTATCTGCCTGTTTTGAAAAACACGTCCTTGAGCAAGCCAATGGCGCAACAGGTCGGCATGGCTCAGTGGTAGAGAGCCGGATATCCCAACCTAGTTGAAAACAGAGCTATCTGTTCTCTGAATGGCACCAGGTGGATTACACTCGTTAATTTTAACTTCTGCCATCTAGTGGAAGAACATTCAATTGTTCTGGCTGTCACTATGTGATACCACATAGATAGCTAAACAAAGATACATTACATGTACATAAAATAATTAAGTGAAATTACATCATTTCCCAATGTGCTGCGTCACAATGATTGGGAATCACCCGGATAAATGATGATTGGTACTTCCTGCTGTGGAGTAAATTATCAAACTACTAATATATATATATATATAAAAACACACACACACACACACACACACACACACACACACACACAGCGGCAAGACTTTGACCCGAATTAGAAGGGCGTGTATGTGCACCAAAACAAACACATTCACGACCTGTCATTAATTCACCCGTATCATATGCGGGATATATTTAACGGTGTTTACGAGAACAATTGATCCCATTCATGTGGAAGCACTTGCTCGTGGAACAGGCCAGACAGTCACTCACTCACTCACTCACTCACTCACACACTCAGAAGACCAGTCAGTCACTGGTAGGTTTGGATAAAGGCGTCACCCGTTCATTCAGATGCATAACCTGCCATTACGCGATCTCGCCCTAGGATTAAAACCACTATGGGCCATTTCGTCGTGGGAAACACATAAAACCGTCAGCCTTTAGGGTCTGCTGACTCGCCTTAAAATACCTTCAAAAGTGTAAACCTCCCATCACACATCAGGCTAAACTCAAGCTAGCTGCCAGGAGCGATTAGCGAATTTAACACTTGACTCCTTACGTCCATTATTTTTAAATACACGATCCGAGTGTTACAATGGTGAAGCTAATTTGGGTACAAACAAAGGCGACGGTACTGTACCTTGAATGCCCGTCTGATGTGACATTGTGTCCGTGTCTCGTCTGCGGAAAAGCTCGAGCAGCTGATCAGGCGAAACCAGGGAAGCCAAGAAGCAGGAAGCGAATGGCAGCCGCCCGAACCGCCCCGGTAGCGACGTCACCATTTTAATCAGCGTTTGGACCAAAACGTTCAAAAATAAATTCACTACTGTACGTTATGTAGGCATTAAAACATCTCTACGCTGTAATACACATTATTTAAGATCAATATACTAACTAGACTACGTATTCAAATTACACGTGGAAAAAATAGATCTGTACCGATTTTAAAATTAGAATAAAATGACTAATATGTTAATATAAACTTTAAAACAACACCAAAATACAGTCCGAGGTGTTTCCTCATGATAACAAATATTCCACATGACGAAATGCTTTCAAGCCACGTATTTGGGTGACGAGACCACACGGGGAATTATCCGGTAAAATATTCCAATAAAACAGAGTCCATATGAATAAATAATGAAAGAATATGAAAACGACGCAATAAACCCAAACACGAACGACGTCACAAGCAAAGTCGCTCTTCGAGTTCAAGGGGAGCCAAAAATGATTATCCCATTGAACGCAGTTACGTCGTCATTGTTGTAATCCAATGTGGGGTCATTATTGTTAGCAACCGCAACGTCATAATAAATAAAAATAAAGTTAGTGACCAAAAAAGTGGCCGGCGATGGACTACAACTACAAATGATCTTCAGAAATTCCACCCAGTTCACACAAAAAGACATGACATGAACAACTGAAGTACTTATTCGCTGAAAAGCTGCTTTAGCAAGGTAAGCATTCTTTAGATGCTTTAGTCGAGATGGTGTTAAAATACAGTATCATTACTCTCTTCTTGGTTAGATTACATTTCATAGTAGATGGTTTTGTGATCACAAGATTGATTGTGATCAAGAGAGGGAATGTTAAGCAACGAACACGCGGGAAAGAGGAGGCCGCTCTTCCCACAACACTGGCAATGTCACAATTTCATTGCAGCAGGTTTATTGAATACAAACTGGTTAAATTTGCATCAATAATGCAAGTTCACATAATCAGTTTTACACACAGCAGTAAACCTAATGCACTTTACAGCAGTAAACCTTATGCACTTTTTAATCACCCAACAACCATCTTTAATCAGGATGTTTACTAAAAAAATGGATTGATATTTGGCTGGTACATTTAAGACAGTTTAGACACACTGGTAGAATGACTGTGTCTTAAAAATAATAGCTTTGCTCCCCTACTAGTGCCACCTACTAGTATCCTTGATATTCAATAAATGCTCAAATGGATCTATACAACTTAATGTCCATGTATTCGCACGCTATTTATTTCCTTATTAGTTAAGTAGAGCAAGACAGCATTGAACCGTATGCACTTTTCAATCACCCAACAACCATCTTTAATCAGGATGTCTACTAAAAAATGGATTGATATTTGGATGGTACATTTTGAAACGAGTTACAAATTGGACACAGCTGAAAGAGTGACGTGCATGTGGAAAGCTGTTTAAACACGTATTTGATATCCAGTAACAAGGTATTACACTCTCCGTCCTGGCTGATAAGACAGTTTAGACACACTGATAGAATGACTGTGTCTTAAAAATAATACATTTCTCCCCTACTAGTATTCTTGATATTCAATAAATGCTCAGTCTCAAATGGATCTATACAGCTTAATGTCCATGTATTCGCACGCTATTTATTCTCCTTATTAGTAAGTAGAGCAACTGCATGTTAGACACACAATTTTGCCCCCGCACACAGTACATTTTGGTTGAGTATTTTTTGACAGAGTCACAATTGTTTTCCTCTAATTAGTTGTATTTAAATATTTTGGAGGACAATTGCCCACTAGAGCCGGAGTAAATCTTCAGAATGGATCAAAATCTCTTCACTCCGAGCACACGAGGCTCCGCCCCGTACTCTCGTCAGTCACCCTCCCGCCCACTAGGGCCGGAGTAAATCTTCAGAATGGATGAAAATCTCTTCACTCCGAGCACACGAGGCTCCGCCCCGTACTGTCGTCAGTATACTACGAGTCAGTTCTCGTCAAATAAAAGTTTGGTATACAATTTGTCCAATATGTAGAGTAACATTTTACTCAGAAAATGTTCCTCTGTTCAAACAGGGACGAAATAAGAATTTTTCTGAGCTTATTTTTCCTCAAGTACAGTAAAATACAGTCTATGAAATGTCCTGTGTAGTAAAGTTACATGCAGTTATCGCACTTTGCCAGAGTTGTCATATTAGTTTAAATGTCATACAGTTGTTCTACTAATTCAACTGGGGTTTTATTTAGATGCAAATTACATTGTGCCGGTGCACCGAATGAAGTGGCCGTTGAGCTTGACTGGCGGAAGTAGATTTTCGTACTCTGAAAATGCTGAACAAGTAATTCCTCTTAATTTGACAATGCTTGGCGGAAGTGGTTTTGTCGTACTCTGAAATTTGACGTCGGCTGTGGTCAACTTCGAGGCAGTTTACTTTGCCTTTCACTGATGCCATGAGTGATTACGGTCCTCCGACTCTCAGCCGCATCAGCGTGCTATCCGCAGCCGGACATCTGCACCTTCCGCCGGCCTCCCCGCGAGACGAAGCGCCGGTCCTCTTCGGCCGCCGGTATGGACGCTCCGGTGCGATGGCCGAACAGGATTTGTCGGGAGGGGGGGCGGGCAGAAAAAAAACCGTGGCGAGTGGGGAGCGATGTCGGTAAGGTGCGTTGGACGGCCGAGTTTAACTCAAGTGCGCGCCTCTGAAGTCGGGTGCACAAAAGTAGGAAAGACCCCCCACGATCCCAGCCTTCTTAAATGAAACAGCGTCAATTAAAGTTGACGGCAGACGAGTTCGTGTAAATGTTTCCGAGGACGTCATCACTTTTCACATGCATTTTATTTTGTGCTGCACGTAGGAAAGACCCCACCACGATCCCAGCCTTCTTAAATGAAACAGCGACAATTAAAGTTGACGGCAGACGAGTTCGTGGGAATGTTTCCGTGGTCGTCATCACTTTTCACATGCATTTTATTTTGTGCTGTGGAAAGCGGATCTGATGGATCACTCCCCGTTGAATCCACTGTCACCAGGTCACTTTATTAGGTATCCCTGGACAACTCTTGAGTTCCAAAACAAGAACAGGATCCAAAAGGTTCTCATTATAAAATTAACACTGGGCACTTGTAATGACATTAAAAAATACTGTACATGATTTAAAATGGTGAATTATGTAAAATTCATAAAAGCAGTCCTTTTGCACATTAAGGATACAGGCACATCTCAGTAATTGAGAATATCACAGAAAAGCGCATTCCTTTTTATGATGGAGTTAAGTGAAATAAGTGAAAGTCATATTGATCACCGATTCCCAACCGGTGTGCCATAAGAGTGCATCAGGTTTGCTGTGGGAAATTGGCCAATTTCACATGGTTACTCTGAAAATAATGAATCGCTTTCATTGTTCATCTATCAACGCAAGTGACTGTTTGTGACACGCAGAACAATAAAATATGCTTCAACCACACATCCTGATACTTTTTCTGACTGAGGTGAGCACAAATAGAAGGCTATATTGCTACAACTTTGCTGATGATGAATCGCTTTCATTGTTCATCTATCAATGCAAGTGACTGTTTGTGATAATGCAGAACAATAAAATATGCTTCAACCACACATCCTGATACTTTTTCTGACTGAGGTGAGCACAAATAGAAGGCTATATTGCTACAACTTTGCTGATTGACAAAGCGACACAACATATTGCAATTTAAAAAAAAATGATGTGACAAGTTCAGGGGCGTAGCCAGACAATTTTCAGAAGGGTGGCCAGGGTGACAAAACAAAGGCAAACTCAAGTTTCCAGCCCAGAGTTAGACAACTTTGCTGTTTCACAAAGCGACACAACATACTGCAATTTAAAAAAAAAATTATGTGACAAGTTCAGGGGCGTAGCCAGACAATTTTCAGAAGGGTGGCCAGGGTGACAAAACAAAGGCAAACCCAAGTTTCCAGCCCAGAGTTATTTTTGGAAATCAGGGTACTGGCGTGAGAGGTCCAATCCAGAGCTGTCTGGGTTTTTTTTTGGGGGGGGGGGGGGCGGCGGCATTCCTCGCCCTCCCGGCTGCAATCGTGACACTACTCTGAATGCGAGATGCTGTCTCTGCCTCCCAGGTGTGGCGTGGGTGGTGGCGGGGGGCGTGGCTCAGCAGGATGGAGACAACCGCTTCATTCTGCTATTACTTCAAGCACCCGTGGTCGCGTATCACGGTGGCCTACCTGGTGGTCTTCTTCAACTTCCTCATCTTCGCCGAGGATCCCGTGTCCCACAGTCAGACGGAGGCGTACATAGCGGTGGTGGGCAACTGTTTCTCTTTCCTTTTCAACAAGTACCCCGGAGCTGGGTGGAGCGTCCTCAAAGTGGGGTGCTGGTTGCTGGCCATTCTCACCGGGCTCGTGGCTGGGAAGTTTGTCTTCCACCAACTGCTCTTTGGTAAGTCATGCGCACTGGAATGTGAGTCAAACGTACACGACTGTACAGAAGCCCGAGCTTGGTTGATTCAGTGACCTTTTTCACGGCATTCATGTTGACATGGTTTCCCAAAAAAAAACACACAAAAAAAGTTCCTTTTTAGTTCCCAGAATGCCTTGTGCGGCACAATGCATTTAATTAATGAAGTTATAAGAAAGTTAATCCTTATGTGTGTTTGGGTTTACCAGTATTTAAATGTGTCATATGTAACACATTTATGTTGATGTTGCACTACGTGTGTATTGTATTATCATTGTTGTTATTTTCAACAAACCTGAGACTTGGTTGTGTGTAAAGTTGTGGCGGCGTGTGTAAGAATGTTGCAGTTATTTTTTATTCCAGTCAGATGTTGATTAATGAAGTTTGTGTATTTTGTGACAGGATACTTCCTGCGCACACAACCTCCTCTGAGAGCTCGATGATGACGATAAAAGCAGCCACTTGATCTGCTCGCATCGTAATTAAATGAAAAGATGCTGTATAGATAATGAAAATAGACACTAATATAGTAGCTGTTGACCTGGAGTAACGACTGCCCCCCCCAAAAAAAAATGGCAGAAGTGAAAAATGAATAAAAAATCTCCAGTGCTTTGGGAAATCATTTGTTTTCTTGGATATGAGCAGAGGACACATTCTGCAGTAGAAATGTTTATAGTGATGTTACATTGTTTTGACAAGGTCAGTATGTAACCTTTGTGAATAAGAGGCCTGGGTCAGCGCTTATTGAAAACCTCTGATTGGTCGTAGCCTGCAGGACGGCATCTAGCTTCTGTCATATGTTGTCGTATGCCATGCAAAGGCAACATCTGTACAGTACAGTAGCATGCTGCTTCTGGTCGAAGTGCATTTTGTGTGCGTGTGTGTGTGTGTGTGTGTGTGTATGTGTATAAATATAGACCAATGTGCGTGCACAGGGAGCCCTAATCTGATCTGAACCGCAAAGATGTTTGCAGAGTGTGATTAGCACTAATTGCGTATTTACATGAAATTACAGACTCCACACCATCAATATCCTGTCTCAGTAGGGAGGACACAAGGCTGCACTGTGAGGTCTGAGCTAATTTAGCAGCAGCTTGAGGGACACCGATTATTCTCAACCCCTCCCACGTCCCACCCTTGGAGAAATCCAAAGATGAATGAGATAGCGGCCAAAAGTGGCCACAATTGTTGGTAATGGAAGCACGGTGCACAAATGCAGGTTTTTAGACAGGTTGATGCCATTTTCATACAAAGGTACCGGTTCAGGTTAAACGAGCCAGAGTTCAAATATTTTAACCAAAATTGGCATTAAGTACTTATAGTATTCTATAAATCGCGTAGGTCTTTAAAGCAATAAAAAAGAGAGTATGGGAAAAAAAAGTGGCAACAATAGCTACTGTTCTACTAATAATAATAACATGCAAATAACATTACAAATACAGAATTGCGAGTGTTTATAAATACTGGATGAAAAGTAAATAAAATATGGTCAATGGTTATTTCACTTTTTTAAACCAAGGACCACCTCAAAAAATACTTAGCTCTCCAATAACACCAAAATAATGTAGCGTAGTAGCAGAACAAGAACGGGAGTGTTCCTAAAAAGTAGAGTTAATACTATTGTCAGCCACACTCTGCACGGTTTTAACTTTAACACTGTACTTGAATGTAGGAAAATAAAACGACACTCAAACATTGTATTGGAACGTATTGTACTCAGAAATAGTACCCAAATAATCTTTAAAAATGAAATAACTCTTCAAGTTGAAATACAAATACAATTTAGCGTTATTTACCCAGTGGGTCTTCCTTGTACCACTAGAGGGAGCGCACGTACCATTAGTGCGGACTAAAAGGATCGAAAAAAAAAACCAGGAAGCCTTCAATGAAATAAATTGATTTCTTTGAATCAATGTGACATCACCATATCACAGTTGTATAGAAAACAATCAATCACAGATTAATATTAACAGTGAACATAAATAAATAAACAAAATTAGCGTGTATGACTTAGGTCACCTTCAGTCTTTTGCGACCAGCTGTGGGCTGCTCATCTGCAAGTGTGTGTGTGCGAGAGTGTCAACAGAAGCTTCATCAAAACCACTGTGTAACATCTGACACACATAATTGCTCCCCACGGGCCCCAGTTCTCCTTTTATTTATATTTAATTTTGTGCTGCTAGTTTGGGCTCTTGTGTCAGCCTTGTGCCAGTCAGTGTGTGTCCAGAGCTACTGTGTGATTTTTTTTTCTTCCCTCCCCCACTGGGTCGTCGCTATAAATGTCATCTCGATCACCGCACGCCATCGTGTTATCTTACAGGGAGGCAGATGTAAATGTGAGCACGGGACCATTTGGACTCAGCGGGGAGGCTTTTTGAGATATTAGCTTATTAAGTTTGGGGTGAGAGCCATTTTAGTTATAATTGGAAAAATTATCAAAATGGTCAGCGTCTTGTTACATGACACTTGAGTATCATCAGAAAACGGACTCGAGACGAATCTCATTGATTGGTGGGGTACTTCTTTGTATTCACCACGAGGTGGAGACATTGCTCTTTCTTTGCACCATGTGGCCAGTTTAAAGTGAGGTGTGCCTTAATATGAAGAAATGAAAATGTTCTCCTTCCTAAATGCCTTCCTACTGTGATTGTAATTAAGACATCTTAAGGATCGAACGTTGGACGTAATAGCTTTCCCTTCATCCTGTATGTGTTTTTGTGTGGCCACCTCATCCATATGTTGTAGCTGTTCAGTACCCTGCCGGACTGAGCCTGCACCTTCGACAGCAAACATGAATCATTCCTTATCGGAGGCGCAGTGACTCAAAGTGCATGGATGGGCTGACTGCCTTAAACCCCAACCACCACCATTTTTTTTAAAGTCGCATCTGCAGATACATACCGCGCACGTAGCTCTAAAAGTAGAGCTCATTGGCACTGAAGGCAATTAAGTTCAGCCATGCAAGTGAATTCAATTATGCAACAGCGATGAGCCTTGAAATACCACAGAGCAAGACGTATGGTCTGGAATCAATGCTGGTCAATCCTGGTTATGGGAAATTGATGTTAAACATGGATGTTGTAAGGCATATAGACACCAGTCTGCATGTCTTGCTACGGCCTTGCGAGGAACGCGAAGACTGCAGTTTAACTTGAGAAACAGTTTCTGATCCACAACAAAGATGGCCGCCTGCGGCGTCAATACAAAGGGAGTGCCTCAAAGTGACTGCATACACAATATGTAAAACAGTAGCGACTAAGAGGTGCGCAGCCGAGCATATCCGAAGCTCCCTTGCTCCCAACAACCGAGTAACCTTGAAGCACTTGACTGCTGATTATTAAGTTATGAAAAGATAAATGGCATTACAGTGCTGTCGCCGAGGGTAATATGCGGGCTTATAAAACATTCACAGATGGACCTTGTTTATGGCGAAACTCATGCCAGCGCTCATTTTGCACTGGTGTGCATAACGTTTGTGGTAGTCTTGTCATCACTAATGCCCGTATTGCGAATAATACCACCGTGTGTACCTAACGCTAGCGCTATTAATGTATTACCTGTGTACAAACGGATAATTCCACAAAAGTGATGGCGTCGCAAAAGCCAACGTTGATCTTATGTGCAACATATTCCTAACGCGAACACAAATGTCATAATGAGGTAGTGTTGTTCATGTTAGTATCACTAATAGATTAGTGTGGCGACTGCCAGTTTCGCTAATGTACTATTATTGTAAGCTACTTGTCGTAAACCAATGCCGGGATCGCCAATAGATTAGTGTAGCAAAGGCTCGTAACACGAATGTACTAGAAATGTAGCTAATGTAAATTTCGCGAATCTATTAACAGGGATACATTCGGAAAAAAGCTCCGCGCGCACACTGAATCACTCCGACCGTTTGAAAACTCAGAATGTTGTACTAAATTAGGTTAGGCCGCTAACACTAATGTACTTCAAACTGTAGCTAATGTTAGTTTTACTAATGATGTAAAGATAATAGTAACACTAAAAACTACAGTATAGCTAAGCTAATGCTAATACTAGCTACACAAATGAACAGATGTAGGTAAGGCTAGTTAGTGTACATGAATGTATCAAGTGTGTAACTCATGTTATTAGCGATGTGAAAAGTGGTGGTTGTCTTTTTGGAATAAAAAAAAAAAAATCCTCCATACAAAAAAAAATAAATGAAAAACTTTCAGTTGATTGCTGAAGTACGTGGTTGATTCTTCTACCCACACTGCTCTTATCAGGAATCATGTTCCATTTGCACTATTTAAGCTGAGCTTTTAGGGCAAGTGACGCCATTTGAAATGTCACAGTAATTTGGTGTGTTGACTCAAGGAACCCGTTGGAATTTCAGGCCGTGTAAGCTTTTTGGTGGATCTTTGTAACTGAAGCTTGCCAGCCATTAGAGTAGCAGACATGTTAAAAATAAAGGAACGATACTGATTTACTCTAATTTCAAGGCTTTTTTTTTTTAGGTGAGATATTTTATTGGCCATGTCACACAAAACTGTTTTAAAACACCATCAAAAAAAGCATGTTCATCATTTACTCATGACCTATTCAGGACATTTTCCTTTAATTATCGAAACAAAATGATCGACTCACGTGACACCTATTTTTCTTCAGATGATCAAATCCATTGCATCTCGGTGTTAGATGATTCGATAGAATTCAAGAACTGGCAGCCACAGATTAATTACATGATTCATTTCTAATACCGTGGGTCTCTTTCATATCCATCTCTACACACATGATTACAGATTTCATCAGGAGCGGCGCGCTCAAAATGGCCGTGTTACGATTGCACTGAGGGTAATCTTTCGACAAGCTAAGAGTCATCTCTGGTCGCCACCACACAACACAGTCGTGCCATTACGCATTCCGCTCAGCTGGCCTAGCATCAGAAACAATCTCATGCTCTGCCAGAGAGATGCTGTATTCCTCAAATAATTTGATTCCGAGCCAGGGCTGCATCAGGCAAAAACGCCACAGGTCACAAGCGTTTGAATGATCGCCGAGCACAACTCAACACGAGCGGTATCACGAAAAGGCAAGCGAGCGTTGCTGTCAAGACGTGTGCCTGAAATGAAGTGCAAGTAGTATGTTTTTTTTTTTTTCTCCGTCGGGATTGATGAGGATAGACAATCACTCCCGGGTTGTGAAAGCGACGCCTCAAAGAGGTCCTACATCTTAATTCAAATCTCAAAAGGGCACGTGTCCAAGAAAGCGGCGCCTTATCGATCCAAGCCGATCATTCATTTGGTTTAATCTCCGTGCGGCGCGCGTTTGATGGTTGACAAGCTGCTGACGATCTCATGTTGTCCTTTGTCACCTTTAGGTCGATACCTGCGCCTGAAAGTCTTCCGTGAGGATCACGGCTCCTGGATGACCATGTTCTTCACCACCATCCTCTCCCTCTTCTTCTTCTCACACATCTACAACCTCTTCCTGAAGGCTGGCAGCATGGAGTAAGGCACTCGATAGCCCCCCTCGCTTGCCCTCGTGCTTGCGTCCGTTTGTTCGCGCCACGCCCTGCTGATTGACCCGATCGTCTCGCTTGACCGTAGATTCAGCAGTGGTCTGATTAATCGTACAAAGCTTTTAAACAAAAAGCGGGTGGATGCTAACAGATTTACCTTTCCAGCGACTCATATCCATCCATGATTCTGCCCACGGTAGGGCTCGACACCCAGTTGTCAAACCCCCAACAGGAATCCATTTCTGCATTTTGTGAGTTGTCCGTCAACCGGTGAGGGGGGGAAAAAACATGGCTTTCGAGCCGGTCGGGCGTTTTGGGATCACAGCGAGGAGAGCTGCCTCTGTTTGTTTGTTTCTATGATTAAAACAAACAAACGGTCACAGTCCTGATTCTGGCACTGCAGAGGTGGAGGGAGGCTTAAGCATTTTAAAAATGAGTGTTATAAGGTTGAAGCGTATGAGAGCTGGGGGCAGGTAACAGACATTTTTTTTTTCGAACAGCTGGAGGGATGAGTTTGTATAATCAATCCATCTATCACCCGGGCTTGCCTCCTGCGGGTGACATCGGCAACCACCTTGTTAAACGGTCACAGTCCTGGTTCTGGCACTGCAGAGGTGGAGGGAGGCTCAAGCATTTTAAAAATGAGGGTTATAAGGTTGAAGCGTACGAGAGCTGGGGGCAGGTAACAGACATTTTTTTTTCGAACAGCTGGAGGGATGAGTTTGTATAATCAATCCATCTATCACCCGGGCTTGCCTCCTGCGGGTGACATCGGCAACCACCTTGTTTGTCGCGATGACAGCAGCGCTGGGGGCAGAGGTCCGCCGAGATGGTAAACGCTAAGGGGCTTGAGCAAATTTGGCAGAAATCTCTCCCAAAGAGCATTCATTTAGCGGCCTCTGTTATTGCAGTCAGCCATCTTTGCCACGACCGCGTGCACGTTACAACCC